TATCTATCTATCTATCTATCTATCTATCTATCTATCTATCTATCTATATATATATATATATATATATATATATTATACAGTACTGTATGTAGAATGCAGATGTTGAAAATGCAATACACATTTTACTAATCTAATCACGTATAGGCCCATCTATGCTATACTACTTAATAAATCATACAATAAGACTTTTCATTGAAATCAGCAGTCACTGTTCAGCTGAGAATTTTCTACTGCGTTGAGTTGATTTTGAATCACTATTTCTGATATTCAAGTGAGCGGTGTGGCTAGCCTAACATGCAAGAGAGCCATTAAGGGGTTGTTCACACTAACAGTGTTCCCAATGCAGTTACAAAGCGAGAACAAGACAAAATCACTTTATTTTCTTGGTCTTCATTTACACTAATGTGCTGCATTTGTGTAGAGCACAATCCATCTCAACATGCTGTAACACATCAGAACATGATAAAAGAATACTACAACTTCCTAACACTTACAGCCAGGGAAGGTGCAATCATAAGCAGGGTATACATGGGTAGACTTTCGCACAAACATTTATATGGAAAATCCCATCAGAACGTTCGATGATACTATCAGAGGCGTGGCAACTGTCGTTTGAAATTTTGATGATTTTCCTATTTACTTAACATTTGATTTTGGAATGAACGGAGTTCCCAAACAAAAAACACATTCACTGTTAGAATTTAGTTTGATCGGGAAACATTTTCCAACATGCTCCATTTTTTGTCACTGCGGCTGAAATCGATCATCAGTTTCACCAGATCAACGTTTAGATAGTCCAATGAACGTTTCCAAAATCGATTTCCTTTATTCGAAATTCTAATCGTGTATACCTCTTTTCGATTGCCGTTGCCATGGTGCTGCACATTTTATCAGCTATGACTCCAGCCATTTGAGGATTTGAAAGTTGCGGCAAGAGCTGAAATAAGCACACTGGCAACCTTGACAGTTAGCATGCCCTAAAAGTAACTGTTTTGGGAGACATTGCATTGGTGGCTAAGGTTCCTCTGAGAAAAAAAAGGGTAAAAACCATGCACAGCAACGCGTGTTAACACTAGGGTTGCCACCTTTTCTTCAAGCGAAACCCGAACACTCTAGCGTCGAGCTGACATTTTTTGGGGGGAGAATGGGTTGCGGCTTATTCATATGTAAATAGCACCACCCATTTATATGTAAATATCACAATTGAGACTATTTTCAGTGGGGGGCCAGTAGCCCCTGTCTTCATTTTGGTTGCCCCTGTCTGCCTGACATTATGTGTCTGGGTTTCTGCTGCCATGAAACCTGGACACAGCATTCAAAACCTGGACTGTCCGGGTGAATCCTGGACAGGTGGCAACCCTAGTTAACACGTGTACTATGGTGTGAGCGAACCCTAATGCAGGCTGGTGCATGAGATGTGTACTTAAAGAACCTTTATTGATACATATAACAACCTAGCCAAATCCGTTTCAATGTACACGAAAATAACAGTTGGTTGCTATGGGCAGCAATCTCGTTTCCTGTTCCCACACTTTACATGCATAGCTTAAATGATGTGCGTGACTTTGCCCACAGTCAAAATGGAGGAAACGTTTCAATTGCGTGCATCACTCTTAAGTGTCCGGGCAAAAACAACTCACGGGTAGCAGAGTTCTGGAGCGCTCCAGGAAGCGGCGGTAAGAGTGCAGAGGAATGTTGTGCTGGAAGCGGAAGAGGCCAGAAGAAGAGTGCAGAGACGATGAACAACAAATTTGATGCGTGAGTTTTAGATTGTATTATTGGCTTCACACGCTCATTCCCAATGCGAACCGCATAGTGTGAGTGGGGGCATTAGATCAAGCTAAGGGTGCTGTGTAGGCCGCAGCATTGTGTGCTAGAAGAAGCGTACAATGTTGTTAAAGACAGTGGTAATAGGGAAGTGAAGTAGAACGTGTCAGACCGTATGTAATGTGTGTACAGAGCTGCCAGGAGCTTGTGGTTGTGATCTACATGTGCTGTGGATGGGAGCGTTCCTACACACACACACACACGCTGGCATATTCAGTGACTGATTACATTCCAGTCATCATCATACCCTGTACAGATTGTCACTAGAGTCACTTATGTCTATGAGTGGACCACTAGGGGGGATTCAGTACAGCATGTGCCACACTTATATGACATTGATCCTGTCTATGAATGTCCTGTGCCAAATTCAGAAAAGCGGTGCAGCAGTTCTAATGTTCTTACCAACACATGCTACAAATACAAGTAGTTCCTAATAGTGTTGCTTTGAAATTGCTGTGACAAATTCATAAAGAAATGCCGCCAGTCTGGAGTGAAGAGTTTGTCCACACCCATATTGGTTGCTCGGATGCTGGCAGCCACATCGCATCATGGTTTGTTAGTTTTCTAGCAACCAATCGGGCTCTGCTTCAAAAGGTCACCGGTTGCTAGGGTGATGGCAGCCCGGAGGCCACTAGCAACTTGGCAACTAATCAGACTGAGCCACATGCCAGGTTCACAGCGGCAGTGACTTGGCAACCAGTCAGGCTTGGCCACACAAGTCCCCAGTTGCTAGGATGATGGCAGCCTTGAAGCCACTGGCATCTTCACAACCAGTGAGGCTGGGCTGCACGATGTCATTGGTTGCTATGGAGCCAGTGGCCTGGAGGCTACATGCACACCAGCCTCCTGCCTATGGTTTATTTAAATGCAAGAGAAATTATACTGGGAAGTATAAACAAACTTTATGCTTCCCAGATGAAGTCCTGCTGCATTTAGATGTACTTGTTTTCACATGCATTTAGACACGTTCAGAGTATCTAATCTGTCCCTAGGATGCGCAGAATTCTATTTCCTATAAACGCAACTAAACTGAATGCACCTAAATGCAGGTAAATACACGGTGGGAATTATACCATTCAATATCATGAAATGCCTATCAACACATGTATGTCCCTGCTAGTGTGAACATAGCCTTAGGCAGACATGTATTGGATCTAGAAGAGGAAGATTCGAGTGGTGTACACCTCAGGCCCCATTCACATGTAGCGACATACCTTTGCAGCGGCCGGGATAGCGCGACTTTCGGGGCGACGATCCAGCGACGGTAGCGCGACCTTCTCGGTCGGGCTCCATAGAAAAAAGCAAAATCCGCCAAAAAAAGGGTCCTGTAGAAGCGACCGCGACGAGCGACATGGAGCTAAGACAGCTCCATTGACTATCATTAGCCGGCGATATCGCGCGGCAAAAATGCGCGATATCGCGGCGGGAAATCGTGCGATAAGTCGCTACATGTGAATGGGGCCTAATAGTTTTTTGTAAGTTGTTCACCTATTGATGTACATCTTAATACATCACTATGGACTTTTTGGATTTTTTTTTCTTTGCAGGAGAAGAAAATTTTTAGGCATTCCTCATTTGTATTTAAGGTTTGGAAGAGATGGTGCCTTTGACAACTATTTTAAAACTGAGCTTAACCTGTCAGACTCAGATTAGCTGAACTCTTAATTCAGTAGACAAATATAATACGTGCCTGTTCTGCTTTGAAGCCGAACCCCAAAAAAACAATGGTTGGTTTTCCATAGAGTGGAGAAGGTGTAGAACCTATGTCAGGTTTTTTTTATTACTGTCTGTGTCTTCGTGTCTGTGCCTGATATCCATAACATGGATATCACTTCGTGTCTGTGCCTGATATCCATAACAAGTGAATGGAAATGTTCCTATTGAGATACAAAAAGTAATCAAAACTTGACGGGTTCTAACCCTTCCTCACTAATAAAAATGTTTTTATAGCTGCCTGTGCCTCTACATTTATCAAGTTTCTTAAACTTCACCACGCTATCCAAGACTACTAAAAAAGAAAAAATGTTTTGCAAAATGTTGGGCTTTGAGTCATTTTGAGCCGTGGCTTGTCAGCTCTCAGAAGGAGAAAGCGTATGACTCTCATTCCTGCCCACTAAAGGAAGGATTCTACTATATAGGGCCAAATTCCGGTTATGTTACATAAGCAGGGTGGACATAAACATTGGATAGCAGTTTTCCTTTGATATATTTTTATTGCTCTTTTTATGAATTCCTTATTAAATATACAGTAATGTAAGTGGGCAGCTGACTTTGTGCGATTTTTACTGTTTGTGTTGCAGACTGAAAGATGATGACAGCGGGGATCATGATCAGAATGAGGAGAACAGCACACAGAAAGACAGTGAGAAGGAAAAGAATGATAAGGACGTGAATCAGAACTCCTCTAGAAAGAAGGTGGGGAAAAGAGGTTTTATTTCCTGACAAGGTAGAACATGAACTTTTTGTTGAGAGTGGGAGTAATGAATACTAGGTTAATCCCAGCAATACATTGTACGCTGTATGTATAATGTACTATTGCTGGGATTTGTTGTACTCCTCTATAGCTGGTGGTATTCTGCATTGCGCTGTATAGAGGACTACAAATCCCAGTGCAATGCAGAATACCGCCAACTATACAGTACTATTACTGGGATTTGTTGTATTCCTCTATAGCTGGTGGTATTCTGCATTGTGCTGTATAATGTATTATTGCTGGGATTTGTAGTCCTCTATAGCCGGTGCCATTCTGCATTCATTGCTGTATAATTTAACGCTTTCCATTTCACTATATTGCACACCACTCCTGTGATGGACTACAATCTCAATACAAACTAGTAGTCCATCACTGGAGCCATTTTTAAAAAATGTATTTTATTTTTTATCCGATTTAATCGAACTTAATAATCGGCTAACTAATCGATTTAGAAAATAACCGCTAGCTGCAGTTCTAGACAAAACCTTTTCTTTAACTCTTGGCGCTAATGGCTGCCAGCTGAACAATCCACTTGCTGTTGCATATTCAAAGTTTTCAACAGTTTATCACAGTTTTTCACACAGACTTGAGGGGCTGCTCATCCAAGGCTCTGGGGCTTCCACCACGAACATAGAAAACAAGGGAACAGAGCGCCACCTCCGTGTGTAAAATCGTTTATTAGGATGAATAAAACAAGGGATAAAAGTACTCACAAACGTTTTCATCAGGCTTTAACAACAAACAAAGAGGTCACACTGTCTGTAAACCCACATGGTATTACCCCGACTATGTAACACGGTTGTCCCGGTCACATCACCGGGCGCAGTCAGCCAAGATTGACGCGTTTCAGGGGCAAGCCCCTTCATCAGCATCATGATTCTGATTAGGATCACACAGAGGTGGCGCTCTGTTCCCTTTTTGTTTTTTTGTCTCCTTTTGTGTACAGCATAAAAACAAGTGCAGGGAACATCCCTTAGATTTGTATTCTTATATAGGACCTCATGAGTAAAACTGACCTGGAATAAAAATTGTTATTTTCCTTTTTGGAATCAATAATGGAAACAACTAGTCATAATTGATTGGTTACTATATGGGTAACACCCTTCCTTTCCCTAGTTTTTCTACAGAGGATTTTATTGATATATACACCATGGGGTAATGATAATCATTGTATGCTGACTTTCTAAACTTTTACTAGTTTGTATTTTGTTATGTCACTCCTTACCAGTTATAAGTCATTTGGTTGGACCAATGCTGAAAAAGGAGACCACTTACTGTATGCACTACTATTTCTGTACACTGTTATTTTCACATATTGTAGATCTTAAGGTCACACCAGTAGTAGCCTGTTTAAAAATAGTGCAGCACATGGTAGAGCATCTGTTGAGGCAGTGTCCTGGAGAATGACTTCTTAAACCTTTGACATGTAGTGATCTTTTTATTTATATGCAGTCATGTTAGGCCATATTTATGGTGGTTTAATGATGGTTGTTTTTCAAAGGAATGGGGCATGCCATATTGTTTGTTTTCTTAAAGTACAACTAAAGGCTCCTGTATGGCAGTCAAAACAAGTACTAGGTAAAGTTACTATGTGATGCACAAGTCTCATAAAGTAAACCAAAACTTCCTTTACCTTCCCTGACTGATCCACATCCTCCTTCATTTGTGCCTCACATACTCCTCCCTCCCAGACACTGAAGATCACAGTGGGAGGGTTCCAGCAACAGAGGCAGTGCTGTCAATCCAGAAAGCAGTGGGCAGGACTGGGTGTGGTGTGATTGACAAGCTACAGGCTTGGAAATCACCAGTGACTGCTGATAGCCATGCCCCCTGCAACATTTTCTTTTCTTTTCATCCCACTGTATTGCAACCAGATGCAGCCTACATGAAAGTGGCAACTCTGAATTCAGGAGCAGTGCAGGATTGTTGCCACAGCATTACAGGAATCTGCATAAGGCCTGGTTCACACTGAGCATATTGTCGCAGCGGATTCAGCCTGACCAAAAGCTTAATCGAAAAAAATCCCATTCATTCTTATGGCCCCTGTGCACACTTAAAGTGACATTAAACCCTCAGATTTTTTTACATAAAACAATACTGTAATGTGTGCCTTACTGTAATCCATGGTTGTTTCCCTTCTCTTTGCTGCTCTTCCTTTTAAATCCTCATGTCTTCTCATGCTTGGGGAGAACTTCCCTTTGCAGCTAAGTGCCTCTTCCTGTAGTGCTGGCTCAGGTTGCAAACCTATACACAGACGCCATATATCCATTCCTGAGACAAGGCAGTCTGCTGCAAAACAGAAGTTCTGCCCAGCATGAGAAGAGATACGGATTTAAAAGGAAGAGCAGCAAAGAGAAGGGAAACAACCATGGATTACAGTAAGGCACACATTACAGTATTGTTTTATGTTAAAAAATCTGAGGGTTTAATGTCACTAAGGGTTTTGTCACAATACGCAAAACCCCTGACAACAGAAAAAGTTAATGAGCTACTTTTTGCCAGATCTCTGCTTGTTTTGGCCCCATATACTCAATAGTAAACGCTTGAAAACGCACGTTGCAATTCGTTTTACGCGCATATGCTCCGATTTTATTTGTCCATTGACTTCAATGTATCACAATTTGCTCATAAAAAGGCATATAATATGTGCGTGTATACATGTAGAAACGCTCAAACGCTAACGCTTAGGTGTGAATCCGGCCTTAGAGGGACTTCACTTGCAGGATCAACCGGCATTCCAGGGGCTTTGCAGCGGATAACAGCAAACGCAGATTTACCTATAATTAAGTACCGCATGGCATAGAGGCCATAGTTCTATTTTGATTACATTATTATTATCTAGCGATGGACATAAAACTGTAGCACTTTGCTGACAACTACTATTTTATATATGTTTTATTATTTTCAGATCGTAGTGCCAGGTCCAGCAGAGCACCCTTTGCAATACAACTACACATTCTGGTATTCTCGCAGGACACCGGGTAGACCAACCAGCTCTCAGAGCTATGAGCAGAACATCAAGCAAATCGGTACCTTTGCCTCTGTGAGTGGTTGCTGGTTTTACTTGTGTTAGTATGATTAATTCATAGGTGTAAATCTGAATAAAATATATTTTAAGGCAGCATAGTGTAGTAGCAGTTAGCACTTCTGCAAGAAGTTTGCGTGTTCTCCCTGTGCTTGCGTGAACTTCCTCTGGGTACTCCGGTTTCTAATACTGTAATGTGTGCCTTACTGTAATCCATGGTTGTTTCCCTTCTCTTTGCTGCTCTTCCTTTTAAATCCTCATGTCTTCTCATGCTTGGGGAGAACTTCCCTTTGCAGCTAAGTGCCTCTTCCTGTAGTGCTGGCTCAGGTTGCAAACCTATACACAGACGCCATATATCCATTCCTGAGACAAGGCAGTCTGCTGCAAAACAGAAGTTCTGCCCAGCATGAGAAGAGATACGGATTTAAAAGGAAGAGCAGCAAAGAGAAGGGAAACAACCATGGATTACAGTAAGGCACACATTACAGTATTGTTTTATGTTAAAAAATCTGAGGGTTTAATGTCACTAAGGGTTTTGTCACAATACGCAAAACCCCTGACAACAGAAAAAGTTAATGAGCTACTTTTTGCCAGATCTCTGCTTGTTTTGGCCCCATATACTCAATAGTAAACGCTTGAAAACGCACGTTGCAATTCGTTTTACGCGCATATGCTCCGATTTTATTTGTCCATTGACTTCAATGTATCACAATTTGCTCATAAAAAGGCATATAATATGTGCGTGTATACATGTAGAAACGCTCAAACGCTAACGCTTAGGTGTGAATCCGGCCTTAGAGGGACTTCACTTGCAGGATCAACCGGCATTCCAGGGGCTTTGCAGCGGATAACAGCAAACGCAGATTTACCTATAATTAAGTACCGCATGGCATAGAGGCCATAGTTCTATTTTGATTACATTATTATTATCTAGCGATGGACATAAAACTGTAGCACTTTGCTGACAACTACTATTTTATATATGTTTTATTATTTTCAGATCGTAGTGCCAGGTCCAGCAGAGCACCCTTTGCAATACAACTACACATTCTGGTATTCTCGCAGGACACCGGGTAGACCAACCAGCTCTCAGAGCTATGAGCAGAACATCAAGCAAATCGGTACCTTTGCCTCTGTGAGTGGTTGCTGGTTTTACTTGTGTTAGTATGATTAATTCATAGGTGTAAATCTGAATAAAATATATTTTAAGGCAGCATAGTGTAGTAGCAGTTAGCACTTCTGCAAGAAGTTTGCGTGTTCTCCCTGTGCTTGCGTGAACTTCCTCTGGGTACTCCGGTTTCCTCCCACATTGCAAAGACATGCTGGAAGTTTAATTTGGCTCCTGTCTAAATTGGTCTATGTATGCATGTGAGATCGCTACCTTTTAGATTGGGAGCTATTTGAGGGCAGGGACTGATGGTTAGGAGGAGGGGCAGAGTGGGGAAGAGACAGCTGTCAGGAGGCAGGGCAGAGCGGGGAGGAGACAGCTGTCAGGAGGCGGTGTGGTGCAGTGCTGGAGGAGAGCTCTGTCTCCTGTGACAGGCGGAGCAGTCAGGATCGAGAGCGTAGCACAGTTCAGAACTGATCGCTGAGTGGTTGTTAATAACTGTGGACAGAGTAAGCTTGCTGTGTCCCCATTTATCAATGAACCGGAAGTGCTCTACATCCCTTCCTGTTAATTCATGATTGTGCACATAGTATCAGTTACTATCTCCTCAGTTTATGAATGAACAGGAACACTCAGTGTAGAGGCTTCTTGTTCATTTATAACAAGGGCTGCAGAAAAAGAATTTCAGACTCTGTGTCCTCAATCTCCTTTTCTATTCTAAGAGGGAAATATCAGGGGTCTGTTTAGACCAAAAAATGCTTGACAATACATCTGGTGCGCTCAGTCCCCTGGGGCTTGTTTAAACTGGCCATGTTGCTATACCGTTTTGAATTTTAAAATTGTGTGGACAAGGAAATAATGCATTGCTTTCAGTAAAACATATTCACGGCAATGTGTCACATTTACAGTGTGTTGTGAAAAAAGTCCTGCATGCTGCAGTGACTTGCTGTGACCCTTTCTTAGTTTCTTTCCTAAACTGTGCATAATCTAGTTTTTATCAGGAACAGATGATGTATACTGTATAAGCAAAAATCAGTATCTCAAGATGTCTATAGATGTGCTGAATCCTTTAATGGGGATTATTCAGAGTTTGAGTTTTGAGGCAGTCGTTGTTAGTGGGAAAAAGAAACAAAAATATCCCCTGGATAACTTTATTATTATTCAAAACTATGATACTGCTAGAAATAATGATAGAGATATTATTATTATTATTACCATTGTTATTTGTTATATATGTTTTGTTTACATTTGGTTCCAGGATTATAACATAAAAATGAACAATTTTATAAACAGCAGGATTAGCTGACAGTCTCCTGCCTTTCCCATCATAGGTGGAGCAATTCTGGAGGTTCTACAGCCACATGGTACGTCCTGGGGAACTAACAGGGCACAGTGACTTTCATCTTTTTAAGGAAGGTATCAAGCCAATGTGGGAGGTGAGATATTACATGATGATAATCTGGGGTATCTGTTGTATACCAATACTTAAGTGGAACTCCAGCTAAAACCAGTATTCATTTCAGATCGAGTCAGGGTTAGAAGTGCTTTGGGTTTTAATTATTTTTTGTGTTTTTTGTTTGAAAGATTTCTCCTTTCTTCCTGTCTTGTTAACCGTGATCCCAGGACAGGAAATTAGAGGAAATGTCTCCAAATAAGTAACAGGAATATTTATTAGAAGACATTTTATTTCCATGGATAAGAGCTAGAACCTTTTTGTTGTGTTTTTAGTTTCTCTCTGTGTCCCTATTGGAAACATATCCTTCACTTTCTTGGACTGAAAATGACAATGTTATCAGGCTTTGTTCAGAACTGCTTCTCCCCAAATACAACTTTATGGGAATGCAAAAGCCACTGAAGCGGGTTAAATGCAGGTCAGATTCCCCTTCAGTCAATTCTGAATGATCTCAGAAGAAACTCAAACCGAGCTCAAAAGCAATGGAGGCCTGATTAATTGGAAAGCATTGCAGCAGGCTCACCGGCCATAATGAATACTTGACATTGGTTCTAACATTTTCACACTCCTATCCAAAATTGACAAGAAAACCATTGGGACCCACTTTTTTCTTATAAGGGTTTTATTTGAGAACAATTCCGTAGTGTACGGTGTAAAAATAAAACAATATTTCTGAACTTATTGTTTCTTATTATATGAAACCGGAATATTCCAAATAGATAAAGCATCAAGGCCAAAAATACAACACAAGTACTTGGATAACATTTTACCTGTGCCAAAAGCCGAAAATCGATAAGAACTTGTCAGTGGTAAATGTGTAGCATGTAGTAAAGGTACAATTAGGCCCTTAGACTGAAGAAGATTAGCAGAGGAGGGGTCCTACTTTTAATGAACATTGCATGTTTATAATTATGGATTATATCAACAGCATTGAAATGGGGATTCTAGAAGTGCAAGACCTGAAAACCATACCAACGACATTGGGCAGCATTGACCAACCCTAAAACAAGGCAATTTGCTTTATATCTTGTGGCTTCAGTTCACACTGGAAAAATGTAGGACTCCTTGCCGTGCATAAGAATTACATACTATCTGGGGGGGAGCCACTGTAAGCTTCTCTGCAATGCAAGACTTGGATCCCAACTGCGGGGATGCGTACGGTTTGATCAGTGGTCGGTCTCGGAGATACTCTCTCAATTGATTAGAGATGTATATGAGACCGGTAACATCATTTAAACCGTGGAAGGGAATGGTGGTAAGCAGGAAGTATAGCACCCTGGCACGTATCACTTGTAATTGGACTATTGCCCCTAGGGGTGAGGGTCTGTACAGCACGTGATTGAAATGATACAGATTTCTCCCTGGGGTGATGGTACACAGTGTATAACAAGACAGCAATGGATTAACTTATTTGTGAGAATTGTCTTTTGCAGTACGTATCACTTTACTCTATATTTATACACAGTATGCTTCAGTCCATAACAACCCTTTGAATAGTCCCCAGCAGAGCCAGTAGGATACTTGCGGTTGGTGGTTATGTCAGAGGGGATGTCCCTTAGGTTGTCCCAGTGGTGAGGCAGTGAGTTCCTGTTCAGGGTGTTGGGTGCTGGCTGGTGAGGATCTCCTTTTGAGCAGTCCCAGTAGGCTGGTCTCCGAAAATGGTGAGGATCCAGGATCCTATATAGTCAGTGGCAGCAGGTAGAATGACCTGGTCCCTTGTGCGGTCTGTGATTACAGAGAATGAATCGTCAGTGTTCACTGTTACCAACAGTAGGACACAGACGGTTTGTTTGGCCGTGGCTTAAGGAGCCTCTTGCGCGGGGGGAGGAGCTAACGAACGTTGCGCGCCGGAGGGAGCCTCTGAGGTCCGTCATGCGCCTGCGCAGGCCCGGATCGCGGCCCCCGGGACGGAACCGAGTTAGTCCCTTACAGCCACACTGCAATGCGATTTGAACAATCGCAGCGCCTACACATTATGCACACGTTAACGCATGCTGTGTGGTGTGACATGAGCCATAGAAAAAACATCTTATTGATGTAGTATTACAACAAGAAACACGGTATCTCCACAGTTTGTCAATATAGATGGTAAAACACGCACACACACACATTTTAAGATATGTTATCTATGCATTACTTTTTGAAGTTGAATTGAATTACGGTAGCAATGTGTAGTATGACGTTCGCTCAATAGATGGCGTTAATCAAATGAATGCTAATGTCACCATGTGACAGGCAGGACATTCAAGATCATTGTGGAAGTACAATGACAATGGAGGTGCGAGTATGAAAAAGAACCTATAATACGCATAACAATTGCACGTATTCATGATAGAAGAAGAATTTAAAATGGCATGCGCAGCGATACAAGTGGACACTTTGGTCGACGTTGCTCAAGCAGTAGTTCCCCATAATCAGAAGTGTCTGGATGCTGTTGGTAACCGCCTTGAGCACCTCTTGTAATTGCAGAAGTCAAACGTGACTTGTATTTATCTTTTGTTATCAGTATTTATTGTGTATTACAATTTTAACACAGTTTTTCCTTTCCTACAATGTGTATAAAATGGAAAAAAAAATGTCAGACCGACAATGTTTAACTTTTTCAAATCCTTTTTTTTTTATTTTTTTTACTTTTAGGGGCTTTGGGAAAATATTGGGGGTCTGATCAGACCCCTGATATTTCCCTTTTAAAATAGAAAAAGAGATTGAGGACACAGAGTCCTCAATCTCTTTTTCTGCAGCCCCTGTTATAAATGAACAGGAATCCTCTATACTGAGTGTTCCTGTTCATTCATAACATAAGAATATAGTATGTTTACCATGTCCACAATCATAAATGAACAGGAAGTGATGTAGATCACTCCCCATTCATTCATAAATGAGGACACAGTAAACGTACTATATCCTCAAATTATGTACAAACACTCAGTGATCGCTGATTGTTTGTTTGCACTCGCTCTCCTTCCTGACACACTGTCACAGTAGGCTGAGTGAGCGGAGCTCAGACAGCTGTGACAGCGCTGGCTGTCTCCGCCCACACACCGATTTGCCGATCTGTGACAGGAGGCTGAGCGGTGCAATGAGGAGAGGCGCCGGACTCTCACAGCTATCTTCCGCAGCGCTCGGCCGCCTGTTGACAGTTTCTCTCCTCCCCTCTGGGACACAGAAAAGCGCCCAGCGGGGAGGAGAGAAGGAACGGATGCGCCGCTGTATCGGCCAAAAAATTGCACTTTCGACCAATATATCGGTGCATCCCTATTATTTATTTTTGGGAAATTGCTATCCACATTTATTTAATATTTTGCCTCCACCACAAACTTTACAGTTAAATGTAAATATCTTAATATTTTTATTTTCTTCCTTGCTGACTTTTTTGAATCCATTGTCCTCAATACTTGACAACTCTATTTCGCCAAGTGTGTAAATGTTGCAAAGGTGAATTTATTAAGTATACTTTTTACAGCTGCTTCTCTCATGGGATATGTTCTTTGCGTTCTGTGTAGGATGATGCAAACAAGAATGGAGGGAAGTGGATAATCCGCCTACGTAAAGGTCTGGCATCTCGGTGCTGGGAGAACCTTATCTTAGCCATGCTAGGAGAGCAGTTTATGGTTGGGGAGGAGATTTGTGGAGCCGTGGTCTCGGTACGCTTTCAGGTAAGACGCTTACTGGAGCTATATACACAAGTTTCTTTTCTCAGCATCTGTATACTTTTTGTATAAAATAGATTCTACTATTAATGCTACAGGATTCCATATCATGCATTGTGTTGTTGTATGAGGAGGTAAAGTGAACCCGTGCCCTCTCTGACAACTGGTAGCGTGATAATGTAGGTGTCTCTCCGTTGTTCATAGTTAGTAGGATGCTTTGTAGTGAAGTGAACTGACAGTAGGAAGCGCCTGCACTCTCATTCTCTCACTTGTGTGTTTACCAGTGCAGCCTCAAGTTATCTTTCAGGCCCATAATGCAGTTCATGAATTGGGATTTTGACAATTTTTCATGTTGCACCCTAAATATGGGTATAGCATGAAACATGGTGTGGGAGAGATGGGCAACGAGCATATTTAGAATGGGGTTACCAATGGCAGCCTATGGTGTTATCTCATCTCAGGTGTTCTTTAAATGTATGCCTGTCAGTGTTGTTTTGGTGAAAGTCATTTTATTTGGTGCCTGTTTCATTTAATCTGCCGATAGTAGTGTATTAGTTGTGCTATTCATTTGGATGTTTGAATAAAAACCATGGGTGAATGTTCAGTTTTGTTTTGCTGTATTTTCAAACCTGTAACAACATCTCTATTTTAGGAAGATATCATTTCTATTTGGAATAAAACGGCGAGTGACCAAGCAACGACCGCTCGGATCCGAGACACCTTAAGAAGAGTCCTGAATCTTCCTCCTAACACAGTCATGGAATATAAAACGCACACAGACAGTATCAAGTATGTGTGAACCAACCTCCCCTTTCCTAAAAAAATCATTTTATCTGAGAATTCCAAGTTAGAAATGTAGAAGTGTGGGATAAAAGGGGTCAAGTTGGCTAGGAGTTCTAATTCCTAAACAAACTTTGTCCTTTCTGCTCATTTTGTGGAGACAAATCTGTGTTTTTTTTTTTTTTTTAATGTTATTGTGGCTTAGAGCTGGGGGTGGAAAAATGAATGTCATTCAGGGGCCAGCAGGATTTTTTAGGAGCCAGCTCTATTGACGACAACAACTAGAGAACACCTACCTCAGAAGTTAGGAGCCAGCTGTTATCTTTAGGCCTCATTCGCACACAACGCAAGAGCAAAATTTTATATTGCGTATAATGCACGTATATGCGTGCACTATTTGCAATCCTACAATGCATCATTCTTAATAGAAATGTTAATGAACTGTACCTGCGTATATGCGCCAAATACGCTGCCTGGACGCATCTCGGTTCCATTCTGTTTTTACGCTACGCAAATATACTGCTCCATACGCAGCTATGTGTATGGAGCCATTTATTTGCATATGGGAGAGTGCGTGCGTATATGCGCGGCAGTGTGAATGAGGCCTTAGGCCATGTTCACATATAGCGACTTGTCGCGCATTTTTGCCGCGCGATATCGCGAGAAGTCGCCGGCAAATGCTATTCAATGGAGCTGTCTTAACTCCATGTCGCAAGTCGCTTCTACCGGACCCTTTTTTCGGCGGATTTTGCGCGACTTTGCTTTTTTTCTATGGAGAAGGTCGCGCTATCGTCGCTGGAACGTCGCCCCGAAAGTCGCGCTATCCCGGCCGCTGCAAAGGTATGTCGCTCAATGTGAACGGGGTCTTAAGGAGCACTGGCTACCTTGCTCCTGGGATTTGTCCAGCCCTGACTTAGAGGATTCAATTTTTAATTCGATTTATAATTTAATATTGATCTCCCATGCCTGTACACGGCTGATATCCAAAGTCCAGAGAGTGTAGTTTGTGACATGTTAAAGGATATTTAAACCCTCCCGTTTTTTTGCATATATCTACTGCTAGCAGGCAGTAGATATATGCAAAAAGTTAAAAAAAAATAAAAAAAAACCGCTCAAACAGCAGTTTATACTGACCTGTGTTCCGTGCACGGTCCCGTGCGAAAATGAGAAATTTCCCAAGCGTCCGCAAAGGATCTTGGGGCGCGCGCATGCGCAGTTCTCATTTTCGGCAGGGACGCAAGGTAAGTCTATGGACGCGTGCAGACACCACTGGATCGGAGGGACAGAGCAGTCAGCGTTGGATCGGAGATCCGCCGCACCGCTGGAGGGACAAATGAAAACATCAGGAAAGAAGAGGAAGATCGGAAAAAGAGACTTAATTTAAGGTAAGTGCTAACATTAACATTGGGGGAGGGAAAAAATGTGTTGCCTTTAATGTCACTTTAAGCAATCTTGTGTTATAATGCAGCTTGACATTATTTTGTCTTTTTGATGTATTAGTGGTTTGTTACAGTAAATGATTAAGGTGGGACTAGACAATTGCTGGTCGCGACAGTAAAACCCTTAAACAGGGCTACTAGGTTCTTTTGTTACCAGCCTGTGCTTTTGTATCCATTTCAATTGTCTCTGCAGTCTCGGTAGGTGTCACCTGCACGCTGAGGTCGGAGCTGCTTCCTACACAAACCTCTGAGTCACCAGCCATGAGCTGCGTTGGCATCATTGCTGATGCCAAGGAGAATGGCAGCAAGGTGATAGCAGCATGTGGGTGTCCACAGTGACCAGGCCTGTCCTTTGTGCGTGGGGAACAGTGGCCACCTATGTCCAGCCTCCCTTTTTCCTTCTAGGCACTGTGGCTACCCTGTTGACTGCAGCTAAAACTCTGTGCTCCATGTACCGTTCTGCAGGGAACATTTCAGCAAGCACAGTTCATCACACTGCCCCATCACTAGCATTGCACCTCCAAGTGCCCCCTTATCATCATCATTAGCATCATTCTGTTCTTTTCTGTGCAGTGGCAGAGCATCAAGCTGGCAGTACAGTGTTGGGTACCTCAAATCATTGTGTCTGTGTGCTCTTCCGTCTTCTACATTTTTCTGATTGACAGGACAATTTGCATTACCAGAACACAGTTCCTGTTGCATCCTGGGAGCTGGGTCCCTTTTTTTTCTTGTTCATCTCTGACATTCTAAAAGGGGGGTGAGGAGGCTACACAATTTTTTTTTTTTTTTAATGTTTCACTTATCCTGTATTGACCCTCTGTTACAGACCGATGAGCACAATAAACAGGAACATTTTTAGTACAGAGAATTGTTCCTCATATTGATTTGAGGGTGTTATGTGGCTATTCTCAATGCAGCTAGTGCTCAGCGGAGTTCTTCTTTAAAATAGATCTCTAGCTTGAAACCAGTTACTTTTTTTTTTCTTTTTTCAAATATGAAAAATTTTCCTCTCCAAAAAATTGTGTGTTCAATGAAAAGAAAAACCTCTCCACAGACTGAAATGGAATCCTTGTTGGAATATTGGAGTGAAACAATGTAGTCCAGCCTCTCATTTTCCATGTGTACATATATTGTATTTAAAGACAGCAGACTTATTCCAAAAACGGAATTTTACTTTGGTTAACAAAAGCGGCCGCTTAATGTATTCTCCCACTTTCCTTGCACACAGCGGTAGGGCCTTGTTTTAATCCTTCCCAAAAGATTTGGATCATCTTTTGCAGGATGCCATTTTTGTGTGTCTGTGGCAATGCTTCTTACAAGAGCATAAGACGGTTGTGGCTGTGTTTGCTGTCCATGACAACTGATAGAAGCAATGAGAGTCCTGATATTTCCATGATCTGATTGCTTTGCATACTGTACCTGCATGGCTCACCCTCCTTTTATTGCCTGTCTTCTCATTACAGGGACAAAACAAGCTTCCGAAACACGAAAATTACATTGTGAGTCGTTCTGACCAGTGCTGACCTTTTATCCTATGTTTAAATCCATCACACTCGCCTTCTAGAGTAGACAGTATTCTGTGTGTGCTATAACATGCTACAACAACACTGCCAGAATGCTCAACCATTCATGACAAGTGCAATACATTGTTCGCTCTTCATCAGAAATGAAGTCGCTGTGGACTTTCGTCTCGCCTACATCGATCTTCGCTTCATGAACTGTCCACTACAACTGCTTGCCAGCAACGGAAGGAAAAGCACCAAACTTTTTTTCATTGATATTTTCTATTTGTGGTTTTATTTTTTATTTTTATGGGGCAGCGGGTGCTTGGCTTGATATTATATATATTTTTTTTATTATTATTGTTTAAAAACTCCAATGCTGATGGAGTTTTAAATGCTTTCATTTCTCGACAAGCAAACCCTTGCTCCCACAATATGCCTTGTAATGTCTCTTCAGCACTTTGTTAGTTTCCTTTCATGTTTTACGCAAAGGATTTTGTGTATGATAATAGTCATCGTCACCTTAGCAGACCCACTACTGAGACATATCAGTATTACTGTAAATGTTGGAGTATAGGAGATTAATGTTCTTTCCAGATGTATGGAATTGTCATCTTAGAGCAGCTGTCGTGTTTTTTTTTGTTTTTTTTTTTACCAATAAGATTTTATTGATGAAACAAAAGCAGATTAATACAACAAGATGTCATACAGCATATTTTCAGATTGTCAAAAGGTCAGATGTCATCTATTTCTCTAAAGAGCCTCCATAACATTGGAGTTATCAGGAAACAGACAAAATATATCAACGACATATGCTGGAAGCGGAGGGCATCCATGACATTGATGCCAAAGTCGACTATCTAGCTAACATGAGTTAAATACATAAAGATCTAAGAAATAAAGAAAAGAAAAAAAGTCGAGCAGAGCAAAATTTACATAACAAAAGTTCTAAGCGAGTGTAGGTGATAGGGGGATTGATTATCCTCGTTGAAGGGAGGTTCTTGCGCATAAAGTGGCTGATCTGGTAGTATTGCAGTAGGTGGGAAGAGGGAATGTTGTAATCTTTTTGTAAATCATGGAAGGTGATGCATGTACCTTGTGGAGACAAAAAATTTTGTAGATTAGATAGGCCTTTTAGCTTCCCAGAGGCAAAATGGTTTGGAGGTGGCACCTTGTGGGAATCCTGGAGTTGTGGTTACCGGCATGAGGGGGGAAACACAGCCGGGAATCCCTAAATATTTACGGATTTCCTTCCATGTGGCGATCGTGTCCTTGGCGTGTGAAGGATGCCCGATAAGGACCACGGGAAGACCGCTTTCTGTTCCAGATTTGTGTTCGAGTGGTGTGACGTTTGTAACAGCCAGTCCCTTGCGTGTCGGAACAGACATGCCAGTTTGTATAGACGTATATTTGGTAGGTTGATGCCAAGTCGTAAGTTGGACTTATATAATTTGTGTGTGGCTATGCAGTGTTTTTTACCTCTCCAAATGAATTTGAGGAAGTTTCTAATAAGATTTTTGATGTCTTTGTGTTTAAATAGAATCGGTAAAATTTGCATTGGGTATAATAGGTGGGGGAAGCTGACCATTCTAATGAGATGTCCTCTGCCCAAAAGGGACAATGGTAAATCTTTCCATTTTTGCAGATCTGAGGCTATGGTCTGCAGTATAGGTGTTAAATTTAAGGAGTATAAATTGGTTGCCGACGTGGGAATGTTGATACCCAGGTATGTGATATAGTTAGTTCTAAGTTGTAGCCCAAATTGATTAATCCATTGGGCGTCTCCCGGTGGGCATTTGCCATTAAGATACATTAGTTCGCTTTTGTCCATTATTAATCTTCAGGGCTGAGAATTTGCCGAATAAACTAATATGGTCAAAAACTTTGGGGATTTGGGTTCGGGGTTCTGAGAGGAGTAGGATGATATCATCCGCAAACATGGCGACTTTGAATTCCTCTGCTCCTATATGGATCCCAGTAAAGAGTTCAGATGAGGCAAGAGATCTAGACGGGTTCTAGTGCAATATTGCAGCTGTTGTTAAAGTGTTTAAAGACTGGACTGTCAGCTGAAAATCTGGGTCTGAACGTGCGAATTGTGGCCGTCAGCGACTAGTCAATGTTAGGGCAGAACGGAGAGTGGCAAGACTGGTACAAGGCAACAGTGCCTCAAATTACTGCAGATCCTAATCAGGGATCCTCTCAAATGATCTCTGAACGCACTGTTCGCCGTACACTGCATCGTATGGGATATGGAAGCCGAAGGCCTGTTCGAACACCTTTTGCTGTCTGCAGTTAACAAGATAAAACGTCTCCAGTCGAGCATTGGTAGAAAGTCATGTGGTCCGATGAATCACGCTTCCAGTTACATCATGCAGATGGCAGAGTGAGAATTTGGCGGAAACAGCGTGAAAGCATGCACCCCACATGCATGAGTACAACCCTTCAAGCTGGTGGGGGCAGTGTTATGGTTTGGGGCATGTTTTCCTGGCATGATTTGGGCCCTTTAATTTGTGTGGAACAACGTCTGAATAGCACAACATACCAAAGTATCGTTGCTGATCAAGTTCATCCTATCATGTTGATGGCGTATCCCAATGGAGATGGCTTCTTCCAACAAGACAATGCGCCATGCCACGGTGCTCGTATTGTGCAGGAGTGGTTTCAAGAACATGAGGGAGACTTTACCTTGCTTAGGTGGCCCCCACAATCACCAGATCTCAATCCAATTGAGCATTTGTGGGACGAAGTTGAAAGAGCCATCAGGCAGCTGGTTCCACAACCATCAAATCTCACAGAACTGGACAGTGCTATTCATCAGGCATGGTGTCAGATTCCTCGCATCACCTTTCAACATCTCGTGGAGTCAATGCCAAGAGGAATCGCTGCAGTATTGAAGGCAAAAGGTGGGCCAACGAAGTACTGATAGGGTGGTCATAATAATCTGGCCACTCAGTGTATAATCTCCATTGCCATTATTTGTGTTCATGTATTGACTAAGCAGGTCGGGTTGAATGTAATTGCACCCAAAATTATTATTTCTGTGGTATCAGGTTTGTACTGCAACAGTATTCAGCACCAGAAATGCTAGGAGGACATTTTAGGTGAGGACTGCTTTGTTTTATATTAGGGATGCACTGCTACCTGGTTTTCGGTATTGAGTATCGAGTTGTTTTTTTTTGCCCTCGGGGGTGGGTAATGACTCGCCACCCAGCTTCCTGACCAATCAGAAACCTGGGCGGTGAGTCATTATGCGCCGTCCGGCTTCCTGAATGGTCAGGAAGCCTGCTCCAAGCTCCCTCGTTACCAAGTGGCGAAGGAAGAATGCAATGTGAACAGCAGCGATTCCTCAATCGACACGCTGTGTTGATGAAGCAATCGGGTCAACTTTAACAGAGACTTTAATGTCTGTGCTTTTTAAGAAAATGGGTCAGTAGGAATCAGGTTTGGAGGGGTCCTTATCAGGTTTCACAATGACTATAATAATGGATTTTATACATGGAGGTAGGGAGAAAGCCTGATTCAAAAGATGCTTCTAGTGTGTGCAGTAGATAGGGCAGCAGTGTGATAATATGCTGGAAGACCATCAACTCCAGGGGCTTTGCTTGCACAGAGTTAAGAACCTTTGGAAGCTTGTCAAGGGTAAGATCAGACTCTAGAAAGTCTCTATCATCCAAAGTCAATTTGGGGAGAAATCTCAGAAAGAGCAGGTGGCTGTGGGAGTACTATGCGGTTTGGAATGGTAAACATTTTGATACAAGGAGAGACATTCCACAAGGATTTCCACAGTAAAGTATAGAAATTATTTTACTGTGGTGAGATAAGACCCATATATTTGGAGGCTGCCAACATGTGGTATGTATGCTCTCCTTCCGCCAATTATTGGATTGTGGGAAACCCATATGTCTATCCGGCCCAGTTCCCTCACCAGGGTTGCAAACCAGGTAAGTGAGCCTCGGGGAGCACATGGAGCAGTGCCAAAACTATCTTTAAATACAACCATAACATCGCTAAAGTATCTTAAAAGAATACTAACTCCTCCTAGAGTAATAATTATGACTGAAAGAAGGTTTTATATTGTGATCTGCAAAGGAGATTAGTGGTATCCTTAGCTAGATGCCTCTCCTGCAGGCATACTATAGCAGGTGGCTATATTTCATACAATAGTGTTTTCCTCTTAATAGGCTCATGAAGGCCTCTTATATTTCAGGAGAATAATTTTAGCTGTTGCAATTTAGTCATACAGGTACCAGTCCCAGATCCTGATAAACATTTTCTCATAGGAACAGGACTGACAGTTTGGATGGGTAGAGTAGGAAGCCAGTAGAGATGATTATAATGGATGCATCAGAAGTAAGGATTTGCATGCTACTATAACAGCCAAACAGAAGACAATGAATAGAGTTTCTCTGCATTATTGGTCGCTGTTGCTGCTTAGTGGGATGAGGTACCATTGCCAAATGGTAGTGGAGAAAAGTATGCACAAGTTAAAGGTCACTCTGGGATACATTTTCATTTTTTTTTTTTTGTTATGATCCAGCCATGATGATGCAGTAGGAGCAAAATCAAATGCGTGAGTTTTACTCATGGCAACCATTCTGAGTTTAGAGGGGTACAGCATGAAAAATGGAAGGAGCAAATTGCCCATCCCTGGCAGGGTGTGGGCAAATTTTTGCAGCTTGGCTGCCACCTTTGCTCCAGGTAACATGGGAGCTTGCACTAGCCTAGGGGGTGCGGCCAGTAGCTGCAGAGTGTTCCCTCCAAGTTGCTTTAATCATGCCACTTGTTAGTGTAGAGAATAGCAACAGGGGATAATCCAGTATGTGCTCGAGTCTGTGTGGAGGATTTATAGTGGTGGCCACAGGAGAACTTACAGGATCATTAGCAGAGCTTGGTATTCTGCGTTCTACCGCATGGACGGTCAGCCACGCACCCCTGCCCATGAAAAAGGAAACTTTACAGGGCACCTCTTCTGTGTCTATAAAGCAATCCAATTATGTGAACATTCAATCATTCCTAAGCACCAAGAAAGGTCCTCTGTATGTGGATGGAGAGGTACTGGCTGCGTGGAAGGGCTGCAAAGTGTGAGTGAGGAATACCTGGGGGAACCAGCTATGATTTTCCCTCCTAGAGGTCCTGAGGTAACATAATAATTTGGATTCAGAGTTGAGTCCTGGAGTGAAAGTGACATCTTACTCAGTTCAACATTTATGTTCAATGTAATAACTGATACCAGATCATTAACTTGAATGGTTGACAGTTGCCGCCTGTAACATGTGCAGACATTAACATTGGTACTGTATATAGTTACATTTTATTTTGAAGCATGAAATTTGGGAAGCGGCCTCCAAGGGACTAGAAAATGTGTCCAGTAGACCCCGAGCAAATTGAGTTGGAGATCCCTGGTGTAAGTTATTGCTTCTCTAGTCTGGATGACTAATCATGGTGGTCTGTTAATGAGTAACAGTGGTTCTGTTTGGTAATAAAGATTAAAGTCTATTTATTGGTAAAAATGGATCAAATCCCAATAAAGGGGCCGCGGCCCATAGTTCTCCCAGAATCTTTGTTTTTCTTTATTATTTCGGTTTATTGTTATGGTATGATGGGTGTTAATGGGGTGTACAATCCCATGTATAAGGCTGTGCTTCAAGCATCTGTAGTTTTGGCGTATAGCCCTATACATGTCTGTCAGTCTCTAATCAAAGTGAATCCTTTATAGGATTTTTCTTGGCATCATGATTTCTCACATGGGGCTTTAATGGCGATTACCTCCCAGGAAGTGTGATCCATAACAGATCTATCTATACCAGAACATATGGGGCAGCACAGTTTCTTTAAGGGATATTTGATTTGTACATTAAATAATACAGGGACATTTAGGAAATCTAGTGCATAACTTACTGTATAATAAGGTATGTAACAATATAAGACCCACCTGTTATAGGCTTCTGTAGCCCCTAGAACATCTAGATGTTTGGCAAACATAGGCCCTCCCATTACCTACTGCGTAAGGTACATCACAGGCTTCTCCTAAATAGCAATGTGTTAAGCTGACTCATCCCAGTGTGTGCAAAATGTGGTTCAGCTAGTGAATTGTGTGACTGGACAATAAAACAAGCCACCTCCCTGTGGCATAAATACCTGTTCTATAAGCTACGTTGAGTAGGTCATGTTTGGTTGTTTGCAAATGTGCAATTCTTTTTCCAATCACAAATCTGAAAGCATGTATCTAGCTCTATGCAAATACTGACTTATTTTTCCATGGGATCTTTGGAAAGGGATTGTGCAAAGGGGAGGTAGGCAAGCCCACTAATAAGCAAGATGTAGTGTTAGATGATGCCTGCTATACAACTATAGGCTTACTATTCATTTTGGTAGCATGAAACAGGTGTGCTGTAATGAATACTATGCTTCGTGGTCAATGGTCATACTTTTTAAAGTATTTTTATTTTTGTGTTGTTGGTATAGTTGGTATAGTTACATTCTTATGACATGCACAGATATACACTTGGCTGGTATAGGATCATGAAGGAAATATGCATTCTGCCGCTTTCCAGAAGTATAACCATATGGTGGCACTGTTTCCCCACTCTTTTAAACATTCACTTTATCTGTGTAGGCTAAACCTTTATTTCTCAACTTTATTATAGCATGTATCTTCTAATTATGAAAACTGTTACCCACAATTTGGCAGGTGCAGGTCACCTTACATTGCATTCATTACCAGTATCCCCTAATGCAGCCTTTCCAATCCCTTATAATAACTTTCAGGTCTCAATGAACCCTTGCTTATAATGACTGTATTTACAGCTCACTGTATATTACCATGAACAGTGTGTTAAGATATAATGATATAACAAAGATTTAGGCCCCATTCACACCAGATACGTTGGCGTCTGTTTTTCAACGTATGCCAACATAAGGACACTTGGAAATGAATGGGTGTGAATGGGAGCAGTTCGCACCAATGCGTTGTGTTGCTGTGTGCTGCCCTGCACTGAAAAAAAAGTAGTCTTTCCGTGCAATGTGTGTTCAAAGTGTGTCAATGCAACGCACATCAAAGCAAGGCAGAATCAATACCCTATGTAGCTTAGTCTAAAAAAAAAAAAAAAAAAGCAAATGTTAATGTACTATGCCAATGCAAGTGAACGCACTTGTGTTGAGTCACATACAAATACACATTTCTTAACATATCATGACCCAAGGCTGCCTTATATGACAAAGTTATATTCAGTAATGACATACTTTCTAACTGTCCCTCTTTCCCCTCCAGATGTCCCTCTTGTTCATGCTATTTTTTTTATATATATATATATATAATGCGTGTGTGTCTCAATAAAAAAAATGCTATATTAAAAGTGTTTTACCGCACTTAACCTTTTATCCAACCTCTACATTTTTGCATTTGGCTGTTAAAACACCAGAACAATCTGATTGGATGCAGGCATGGTTCAGTTATTTTGAGAGCCAGCGGGGCCGACTAGCAAGATACTGAGGCTTGGCCCAGTAGGACATTCCTCCATCCACACAGTTTAGCGTAGATGGAGGAATCTATTGCACTTTTTCCATCTGGCCATAGAAAATCTGCAGATGATCTATAGGTGTATGGTCCGCATTAGTAGTCTTTATTTCAGATAGATTTGTAAGGCTTTTACATATTTATTTTGTAAAAAGGAACACCAGTACAAATAGTGATAGTCAATAGCTTTGAAATGTTCAGATCTCTAAATATAACCTATTGACATTTTGTTCTAATTTTTTTCTGAAGCTGGTAGAGCTGCTAATATGCAGTTTTGCTAATTTCTGAATCTAGAGATCCAAAAATAGCCTTTTGTGTTCTTTAAGATTCTTAGGAGTCAGTGGGACCCATGTTGATCTACCACTGATATCTATGTCAGTGGGTCTAAGAAGTGCAGAGTCGCTGGAGGTCATACAACCCAGAAGAGGAGTGCCATCCAGTGCCAAAAAGTACTACCGGTAATTGTGGGGGACGTGTCAGAGATACGGTGCTTTAATCTCATTCACACATATATCATGAAAACATTTTAAAGATGATAGTTTACTGTAATTTGTAGCAAGGGTATTGATCTCATGTCATAATCCATCAGCCAGCATAACAGAAATGTTTATTGATTACCAATGGAATAATAGCCACAACTGCCCACTGAGTTGTTAAGTTATTTTCTTGCTTTTATTGCTGAGCCATGTTTTTCCTATTCATTATTGATCAGTGAGTTATGATACAGTTCCTGCAATTCATACAAACATGTTACCACCATACATTCATTTTATCTTCTATAAAAACATTCAATGATGATGTTTCACATTCTTAGTTAGTGTTCCATGCTCATTTTCTGTATTCTTTTCAGCTCATCTCAAAAAACATGTAGTTCTAGAATTGAAATGAGAAATATATATGAATCTACAGCATCCCGCATGTGGTTTGTATTATTTAATGGAGATAAAAGTAAAAACATTTATCCATAGCTGAGGTGCTGCTTCTTACCAGTAAAAATGTTGCAGCTAAAAGAAGGGCCTTGTCAGTTGGACTGAGAGAGGCTGAAACTGAGACAACACAAGCACTTGTTTTAAAGTGAAAACCAGAGATATACAGTGTATATTGTTGATAGACTAAATGTATAAATATATATTTCTCAGATTAAATTAGGTTTTCACTCACCTGTAGACTTCTAAGCTCACTCTTAAAGGTGGTATACATTGTTTATTGACAGCTGTTTGTTTATTGACAGCTGTTTTTTTGTGATTATTTCAGATGACTATCAGCTAGCAAGGATTTCTGTTGACACCAGTTAAGCTAGTTCTAAGTGGACCCCAAGACCTTCCCTCAGCAGCGGCAGCACTTGCAAAGCAGCATATCCAACGTACTGTATCAAGGATTTTGTTTTAAAAGTGAAGTTGTCAGGCCCTAAACATAGTCTAAGATAATAATACTGCTAAACTGTAGACACTCCCCACTGAGCATTCGTTCTCACCTCACCTCTTGTCTTGTAGGATCATTGTATCCCACACCACAGCAACAGTAGGTCCCTGCTCAGTCAAGATGTCATGTGCAGATCCAGGATTATCACTCTGTGCTTTGCCAAGTGCTGCACAACCTCTTCTTCAAAATCCTACTTTTCAGATCCTCTTGAACATGTGCACTGCAGTCTCCATATGGAAAGTTCCTATACCATCCCAATGGTAGAGCCCAAACAGAGCCTTCTTGAGAGGATTTTGAAGAAAGGTGCAGCAACAGGCAAGCCACACAGCAGAGATCTCAGTGGGATAGGGACAGCTAATTGTATCCCATGCTAGAGCTTCTGAGGAGGGCCTTGGGGCCTATTAAACAACTTAGCTGGTTTGACTCAAAAACTTAGTGATGATAATCCCACTACATCATGTCCAGACCAAAACATGTTTATAGTTTTGGATAGAGTTGGGAAGGACTACAATTCCTGATGGGTTTTTACCACTATCTGGGCCCCATTTAGATATTTACCCTCAGTTCATTTCCTGTTGAAAAAGGTTCCAGCAGACAGGAAGTGAGGGAAAATCTGCAACAGCAACACACAAAAAAATACAAATCTGTCAGTGGTTCTATCCTTCCCCTACTCTACTAAAGAAAAGTAATGTAATTTCTGTCTGTGATGCTATTCAAAAATTCCCCTTATTTCCTGTCTGGTAAAACTATTGTCAGCAGGACAGGAAGTGAGGTTAAACATCTCTAACATGTTCTCTTTAAATTAGTACAATATTTATCGATTACAGGACCTGCCTTTCCCTGCTTCATGCTCTACGGTAGCTTATTCTCAAAGCGGCCTATTTCTACCGTATCAACTCATAAACTAATAATTCAATTACAATTCTATGTCAATATTACAGGGCAATGCTTTTCACTTACTATCCAGGCCAAAGAAATCATGATCCATGTTATAATCCTCATTAAATCCTGGCCACCTCTTCCAAATGATCGCCACAAGTTGTCCTTCCAGAGATGTGACCTGCACACAGATTGTGACATTCATGCACTCCCATCAGAATTGCCAGTGCATTAATGAAGGCTAAAGATGCGTCATTTACATTCTGCCATATTATATTAAAACGTATCATTAACATAATGATACCATCCACATACACTTTACTCTCTATTAATATGCAAAACCATTGACTTCAAATTTAGATCATTATGTAGAAAGAAAAACAAAATAAATGCCTATCATAACTGAATTAAAAAATGTATCTCTGTAAGATTCTTCTTCAGCTAGACACAAGTGGGATGCAAATCTAAAGAAAAACGCTAGGAAAGGGAAATATATAATGTTATTAAACATTACTTTTCCATTACAATCCATTATCTTGTGTTACTGGAAAAAAGTCAATTTTCAAAGCAACACTTCAAATTTCTCTTCATTGCTTTTCACAAAATATTGCACAAATATTAAAGCCATGATACAGGCAAGGAAATCATATGCTGGTAGTATGGCAGCAATACTAACGGTATCCTTACCAAGTTTTGAAATGCAATCTTTCCTTTTACAACATTGGACTGGTACTGATAATGTGATAAATATATATATATATATATTTATTTATTTATTCTTTTGTTGGTTTTAAACAGATCAGAGCAGCTGCTGGGATTTTGGGGGGATTTGGTGCAGACACACACTGGAATTCTTTAGTTGGCTAAGTCCTAAGCTAGTCCTAAGCTGGTGTGTTGCGGTACCTTTAAAGCACATGTCAAGGCAAAATTAAAAAAATTAAAACATATTTAGTACATCTCTGGAATACATGCAATTTTCCACATGTTTTATACCTTTAGGCCTCATTCACACAGGGTAGGGTGGAGAAGTACAGATCCGTGCGGCGTGCATGGCCATACCGGGCTGTTCCCAGGAAGGACAGGTGCTTGAGTATGATTGTACGCAGCAGCCTGTTCTTCCCTTTGGGAGTACGCGGCCATACACACACCCGAGTCGCACATCCGTGTGTGTGTCCGTACTCGGACGCAGACAGGATGGATCCTGTGCATGTCCGAGCACGGACTCCCGCACCTGCACAGATGTGCAGGTTGGAGGAGTGTACGACAGCGTACCGCCGTGTCCTCCCATAAGGAAGAAAAGGCTGCTGGGTACAATCCCACGTAGCACCTCTCCTTCCCGGGAACAGCCCGATACTGCAGTGCACGACGTACGGATCTGTACGGCACCACTCTACCCTGTGTAAATGAGGCCTTAAAGAGGAACTCCATGAATTTTCAAAGTTAACCCTTGCAGTGGGACTACAAGAATTAGCTAAAGTTTTCAAAAATACTAAAAAAGGGCCTTGTTGTTAAAAATCCATCCAATTCGCTGCCAGGAGGCACACATTTCCTTCATTTTTATTTTATAAATCAGATGTAGTTATGTAACTATTGTCTTACTTGGAATTCCTGCTCAGTATGACAACGAGCTGCACTCCAGGAGCCACTAATGTCCATTGTTCTTGTTCCTTCTGAGTTGTGCACTGAGAGGCTTGGACTAAACAAGCTCCACCTGAAAAAGAAATATAAAAACACGAATGAAAAAAAAAATAGACAAAAGACCATTACCGGTGTTTTTGTATACGAACATTGATCTGCATCTCCGATCTAACAGTTTGCTTAAAATGTACTTTTTTCAAACAGGTCATAGAGACAACTGATTTCTGTAAGCTTTGCTCTGTCTACATATACACTCATATTTTAATGAAATATTCAGACAGGAAAATACAAACAGTGCTCATGATCAGCAGTGAAACAAAATATCACTGGTAGATAGGAAAACTGTGCACATAATAACAACAACAAGGATGCATCATTTCAGGATTATGTTCTAAACATACCTTTTCCAAATCTAGTAGTGTATTTAATAGTATTTCCTCATCCTGCTCTTCTTTATTTTTCTCTTCATTTTGGTCTCATAGTGGTTTAAACAAAGGGGTTCAAACCACACTAGCAGGATTTTAAATTAAAAGCACTATCCTGGACTTAGTGTGTAATTGTAGAAACAAGGAGGGATATAGAACGGGCCAACAATGGTATTCCTGATCTATAATGCAGTAGAAGAATTTCTCGTTATATTACCACCACTACCCTGACAAGCATACCTTAAAAATGATACTGGAATCTGAAAGTTTTAATCTAATTAGTGTCTGCATTTAAATCATTACAGTACGGACAATTTGACACATGAGGCCTGAAGAGAGAATAAGATCATTTCCATTTAGACAATTTAATACTCCATTAGTGGTTCAGACTAGTAATATTCAAAGCTGCCAGAGGTAGTAGAACTAACATAAAATCTATGGAAGATTTGAGCATAGTGCTGCTACAGGTATAAGATTATAAACAGAGAGAGAGCTGTAAGGGGAAATAGATACATTCTTTGGAACACCATTTCACCCTTTGCAATTGCTTAGATTTCCTCATCAATGTCTCCTAAAATGTGCACTGATCTTCAATTAAATCACAATAATAGGCAAACACATGCTGTTTATTCTAGATCCATACAAACAATTATATAAATAATATCTTTATCAATCATATAATATAGGGATATTCAGATACCAAGTACCGTACTCGGTACAAGTACCAGTGCTGATACTTTTCCAGTGCCAAGACTAGACTAGACTAGAAAAATTCAAAAGTTAGGAGGCAGCTGTCATTTGTAAGGAGCTCATGGGATTTGCACATCCCTGTTTTAATGTATGATTTTTTAAATAAATATATATAAGTGGTGCACCGATACCATTTTTTCAACTACAAGTACTGATACTTGTCCAAGTACTCACAGATACAAATACTGATACATTTTTGTTTAGTGTCATGTGACAGTTTTTCTAAAACAATACAGACTAATGATTTCAGGACAGTGGTGGAGTGCCAGAAGTAGGTACCAGCTGCAACTTCTGCGACCCTGGTAGTTCTCGTGAAAATGCCCAGTATCGGCACTGGTATCTGAACATCCCTAATATAATTTATACAGCATATAAATAATACAGTATGTGAACCCTTGGCGAAGATTACTAGTACAACCTTCTTTATCACCAATTACCTCCACTAATTGTTTCCTGTAGCTGCTGCTAATTTTTCTCCTTCCTAAATTTTCTTTTTGGTTAAGCTAAATGGTTCCAGTTGTGGTGAGGTCTGGGCAAACTTTAGATAACCTGTATTTGTTTTTTGAAAACTAAAGAGTCTGATGTCCACCCATGAACACCATTCTTGTTCAGTGTTTTCTTTATGGGAACCCATAGCAAAAAAAGATTTCTGCAGATCCTTTGCTGTTACCCTAAAGTTCAGCATTGCACATTGCACTTTTGCTGTGATGTTTACAGAATAACCATTCATGGGAATAACTCTGAACAACTCGGCAGAACTCGTCTTAGTGTGGGACAATGTACACCTAGACTATTGGGAATGGTTTTTCCAGTCTTTTCTAGCTTTATGCATCTACACCATACTTCTACTAAGGTCACTTTAAGTGTCTTTTGATTGAGAAATGGTTCAATTGAAAAAAGCAGATTCTGTCAATAATTAAACTTTGTGCCTTTTTATAGGGCATGGCAACCGTTAAACTACACCTCTAATGATATGTCATTGATTGGACTACCTGATCCCAATTACCCTCTTTGCAAGGTGTAGTTACCATAGGTATTCACTTTCCTCTATCAAGAACCTTGGTTGAATAATCTATTTGCTTAAGAAGGATATTACAAGTAAGGTAAGTACTTAATTAAAACTATCAACATTTTGAAGAAAATCAGATCATATTTTAGGAGCAATCCATGCAGAAACCCAGTCAAATATAAAATGCTCAAGGAACAAGACCTGGAAGAAAGTACAACACTTTTTTTGTGATGGTTTTGATCTACAGAGACCCCAAAGATCAGCAGCCTACTCAAAAGTTTGATATTATTAATATATCAGAATTTACTTCTGCTGCACGAAGCCTACGAGACTGTTAGATGAGTTGAACACTCTGATGACCATGAGGCAGCAGAACAAGCAGCAAACATCCTCACGGTAGGGTCTGCTAAACTTCAGCACTTCCTGTCTGTTCTGGTCACAGAGGCGAAGATAGTCAATTTATGTTAAAACATTTTGGGGACAGATAGAGCTTTCTTTTGGTGGTATATAAAATCACCACTGGGGGGGGAGGGGGGGTTATTTTTTTACTATATAATTAAAAAAGTACCATAAAAAAAAAAAGTTTCCCTACATTATGTTATAAAACATCTATTCTTACCCATATGTTTGGTAAAATATAAAAGACTGGGTTACGTCGGGTAAATAGACACCAAACATGTCAAGTCTTAAAATTGCGTGCGCCCCCAAAATCGCAAAAAAACGCCCACACTGAAAATTGCCCATAGGCGACGCTTAAAACGCATTTACCGCTCATTAGCTTAGTGTTATCAGTGATTAATGGCCCGAAAATTATTGCTCTCACTGCGACGTTCACTTAGATATGTAACACGTGCGGCACAATAGGCGCAATTGTTGTTTTTCGCACGTAGGCGCACCCGACGCATATCTGCATGTGCATGTGGGGGGCAGAGGACTTTAAAAAAAATAAATTATTTTTACATTTTTTTTTAATGCTTCTTTATTTTTTTACGATTCTTTAATTTGTTTTACTATTTTTTTTTTTACACAACTTTATTGCTATCACATGGGGGAGATACGAAGCCCCCTATGTGATAGGCAATTTACATGACAGGTCCTCTTTATGGAGACATCAGGGGTCTCCAAGACCCCTAATGTCACCTAGGGACCCCCAGGGAAGCTGATGAAGCAGATATCTGCTTCATCAGCTTCTGTAGCGGGAAAGTAAAACTGAATGCAGGAAGCGATGTGATATACATCACTTCCTGCATTCCGGGACTGAGAGGAGATCAAAGGGAGATAGTGTACTGATTACCTTTGATCTCCTGTTACAGAGCCGTGCCGGTCCCGGCCGCATCGGGCACAGCGGATCTCGGGACCGGCAACGGCAGTGACAGCTGCTGGCAATACAAGCGACTGGGCGTCTCGAGACGCTCGATCGCTTGAATGTAAAGCTGTGTAATTACAACGGCCGGCCGGGAAGCTTCAGTCGATTTTTCAAGCCCTGGTAATTTATGTGAATAACCATTATTCCATCATACAAATTTTATTGAATAATGATGGTTGGAGCTTCTGGACACCTCTTTCTCCTTCATGTTATATCTTATACTGTGTATTCAATGCTGCAATTTAATTCATATTTTAGGGTTCACTGTAGCATGCAGCCCAAAGCAGATCACAATAAAAAATTGTAACACTAAAGTCTTGGATTCCTTTAGGTAAATGCATAAACAACTAGCATTTACTTAAATGCGTTGCTGTGCATCAATAATTGATTTTTAAAGACTAGATGGTATTTTTATTCCTTAACTGGGTCTGTGTTATATTATTTGTGGCCACTTTAAGACAGCACAGTTTAAAATAACATCTGGTCTCACATAAATGCAGATTTTAGAACCACCCTCTGATACAGTTGTATAGATTGCCGTAGTGCTTTCATAATAGCAGGGTTACCTTCAATAGCAACAAGTAATTGCTTGGCTGTGCGACTGGAAATAATGTATAATCTCTCTGATTGACAGCAAAGTCCTGAAACAGAAAGCAATGATTACATCCATCCAAGTAATAAAATCAACATAAAAAAAACCCAAACACTAATCATTGTTTACATGAAATTGCACTCCTGTTTAATGAATGTAGGATGCATTAAGTCATTTAGTGTGTATTCACTGTATGAATATTCAAGTATAGCGAAGAACAAACACTGAGCAATTTGCATGAATTATGATGTACCCTCATCAGCATTTGGATTCATATCTAGTTCTCTTATTTTAAGGGGGACCCTGTCATCCATTTTGTGTAGACAACAGTATACATATGAATCAAATTTTATTATTGAAATAAGCTCCTTTAGGTTGGAGCATTTATCCAATCTTTGTAGCTTTTCAACTGTGACTTTACTAGGCTGTCACTGTTTATTACACTGCCAACTACAGATGGCTGTATTATTGCTCGGTAGATGACTATGTAGTGAATAACACAGAGCATGCTCCATTAAAAACTTTAGTACTAATAACATAGTTAAGGCAAACATTCATGATCTGGAGGGGAAATGGTGCTGAGTTTAACTTGAGCTATAAGGCTGTGCTAGGTCCATCAGCATAGAAGGGGACATTACCATCTGCTAGTATGACAATTATACCCTACTGTAAGGCACTATGAAACAGGATGAAAAAAGATACTAATCATTACCTTTCCTGGAAGAGCTTATTATCTAATGTCTTTAATACACCAATTTAGTAAGTAACTCTACTGCTTGTTGTTCATTGTAGAAGAAAACCAGACCATGTAAAAGAAAACCACACAACCATGCGGAGAGCATGCAAATATCATAGTATCTCTAGAGAAATAAAAACGCAACACCCAGCACTGCAAGGTAAGATGGCTAAAATAACTGGCTGCCTACTAAGTATGCATTGGTATTAGTGGGAATGACTCTATGACAGCATTGGAAAGTCAGGACGCCCTCAAATGATTTACAACAGTGCATCATTTTTAGTGACCATTACAAAGCAATTAGTAGAAAACCTTAAAGTGACACTAAACTCAGGAGTTAAATCTTAAAAATGCATTCAAGTAGCATACCTATTAACACAAATGCACCTTATTTGTGTATCACCCCATGGTCCCTGTGTGTGTTGTAAAGTAGCGACTGCTCCATGCTCACTCCCGTGATGGACTACAATATCAATACAAATGAGTAAACTAAACACGAGATTGTAGTCTATAACGGGAGTGAGCTTGGAGTGGTGGCTCCCACACAGGGACCATGGGGAAAAAAAGTAGTCACCCTCCAGAAGGAAGGACTGTGTCAGCACCAATTCGGAGATGATTTGAGGATCTACAGCTAAGTGATGCACAAAAAGGATACATTTGTGTTATTAGTTAAGGCACTTGAATGGGTTTTTAGTATTTGACTCCTGAGTTTAGTGTCACTTTAAACAAAACAAAAAAATTGAAATCTAGAAATATGCCATAAAGGCACTTGGCTCCAATATCATTTAGGCTAGGTTCACACCTAGGCTAAATCCCCACGATATTGCACAAAGACTTGAATTTGCATTCAAGTCTACGGAAGCCGTTCACACATTTGCGATTTGTCGCGCGGTAGAAATCTCCTGTCGCGCAAAAAGCTGCAGGAGCTTTTTTTTGGGCAGTTGTCGTGTAGTTTGGGTCTCATAGACACCTCTATGCATTGAAAACTGCGAGACAAGCGCTCGGTTTTCAAAGCAAAATTGTGCAAACAAAAACGCGCCACAACTGCGCAATAACAGCTCACTAGCTCAATCGATTTCACAGTTAAGTGGTCATTGGCTGTAAACACAGACTTCATGTCACAGTTAGGTAGTCATTTGATGTGAATACAGACTTCAGGCACATATGTATTCCCAAAAATTACAAAAATGATGTCATTCATAGATCTGAAGGTATCCAAGCACAAAGCATGCACAGTTTTGCTTTTTAAAAATGAAACCCTTATTGTTATAGTCAAATGTAAATACAAAAGAGACTGCATAGTTTTACAATTGATATACAGTATGCAAAAGATATCCATTGCTATTATCATATATGCATGTTTTTACCATTTGCGTATACTCTGGCTAGTTGTACTATTTTTTATCATTCATCAATACTGTATGAATATAAAAATACCGGACTCATCCTTTTATATCCTCATTGTTTGTCACCAATTGTATTATGTAAATGTAAAACATTTTTTTTAATAAATATATAAATAAATAAATACATTTGTATAATACATCTGATCAATACTTGATCCAGAAGGCTGTATTGCTGGATAGCAAAAACTTGGGTTGAGTAAAATATTTCCATTGGCCATAACAGCGAATCTGACATTAGCATATAAACATAGCTCATGCTCTAGAAACATAAAATGGTTTCTTACCTGTTGGTTTGGCATTGGAAGTTATACAGAACTGCTGAGCACCTGCTAGAATTTGCAGCTCCGAACAAACCGATTCATTCACTTCTTCCACTACTGTCAGTGTCCTCTGGATGCCCAGCTCCCTGTCTATCTCATGAGAGGCTGCCGCAGACTGAGAAGGTGGACATGAAACCCTGGTACCTCCTTTCCTTGAAGTTCTTACTGTCTTATGACTGCAAAGTTTTTTATATGGTTGTGCGACGTTCTTCTCAGTTCTTCTCAATCCACTATCCTGATGAAGGGAAAGTTGTCTGTGCTGAGCTTCCATACATCTACACATTTTCTCTTCTTTAGGTTTTTTGGTGTTACGTTCAATATGCTTTTCTCTTTGAAGATGTCCAAAGGGAGATGGTTGGGAATGTGTCACTGACATTTCAATATATATTTTATACAATGTGATGCAAAAGTATAGGTGCTAATAAAAAGTGTATTACTCTGCCAAATTCTGAGCCTGGAAAATTGTAGACTGAGCCCAGTTGGGTCCTATATCAGTTTCTCTTCCCTCCTCCTGTTGCTGTTTCTATCCCAACCAACCGGATGCTTCTTAATCCTCTACAGGGGGCTCTCCGGCCTGTCATCCCAACAGATGGGTGAGCATAAAAGACGGCAGAATGTCAACTAAATTCTTGTTAGGATTAAAGAAGAACAGAGACAGTGGAGATTCTTTAGTCATGACAACTGGCAATTCTATAACACGGCTTGCTCCCTGGTCCAGGACATTGCATCTACATAAATCTTACTTCTAATGCATCTTTACAGTTTTCCTCTGTACTGGAAAGGTAACATAGCAAAGAAATAAGAACTACCTAATGCACAGATCAACAAAACAAAGATAATAAATATGATGGTGCCCAAATGGGCTCACTTGTTTAGTTTTCCTCTATATGTCCCAAACATGGGGTTCTATATTCACTATAATACAATAATATTTTTGTATATGCATGTTAAACTTCTATTATCTTGAATATGTGGATAACTTGGAGGTCTCTTCCCTGTTCTTTAAACAGATTGCT